AGAGAGAGAGAGAGAGAGAGAGAGAGAGAGAGAGAGCGCTTGGGGGGGCTGCGCCAAGGTATAAAAGTCCTTTCTTCCCTGCTTGCTTTGCTTTGCCACCCTGTGATCTGTGGCAGCGTGCTCCATACTGTTCCAGCACCAGTAGAATGGCAGTGCCCAAGGCCAGTGAGCACATGGACGCCCAGGGCTCTAACTTTATTCATTTAGCTGCTAAGGAGTTGCTGGGTTCCTACCAGGTGTCTGGCCCCACACTGCATGCATGCTGGGATAGGGCAGTGGCCAAAGAGAACACCCAGCCCTGCTGTTGTTATAGCCCATTGGGAGGAGGCCAATGTTAAATACGGCTGCTTCTCCAAAGGCTGTCCCTCACTTCTCAAAGTGTCTCTGGCTTCCAATTTGGGAAAAACAGGATGAGTGGTGTTCTTGGGTAGGGGGGATACATTAGAGAGAAGAAATCAAGAATTTAGGCGCAACAGGGGCTTTCATGTTAATGGAAGGATCCAAGGTGATGTCTCAAGAAGCTGGCACTGAGCAAAGACAGGAGGTAAGGCTGGCAGCCAGGCAACTCTCTGAGAGGTTTACTCCTGGTCCACAGACCAGAAGGTGTGTGGGCTCTGTGGAGGAGCAGGCTGGGCACCTGCCAACCCTAGAAAGGAGTCGTGTGACTAGAGAGAGCCATAGAAAGGGCATGCATAGGAGATGGCATGGGTCTGGGCTGCAGAGCACCACAACCTGTGGCTTGGTGCATCAGGGAGTCATCGGATTTGTGTTTTAAACACCCTCACTTGTCCAATTGTTGAGAATGAGTAGATGGTATTGTGGGAGATGGTGTGAGATTAATTAGGAAGCTGCTACAAGGGTCCCTGCAAGAAGTGGGCTGGACAGAACCATATCTTCCCCACCCCACAGGGCATGTGGTCTCAGGCAGTTCCACCATGAGAACTCAAGAGAGAGCAGGGGACACACAATCACTACAAAACCTTCATGCATGTACATATGTGTATCTTTTAGTTGTAGGGTTTATGCAAAAGAAGAATACTATCCTGTTTTGCTCTCAAAATGTTTTTCAGACTAGTCAGATAACTCAGCAGCTTAAAGTGCCTGCTTAGGCAATTGCAGGGGGTGGGGTTCAATCCCCAGTCTGCTGTGCTGCCCCCC